GTCATTTTCAGTTTATTATTATTACTATAGCCTAGTTAGTTGGTGTGAAGTCATATCTCATTGTGGTTTTGATTTACATTTTCCTGATGACTAATGATTTGGCACATCTTTTCATATGCTTTTTGGGCATTTGTATTTTTTCCTTGAAATATTCAAGTCCTTTGCTAATTTTAAAATTGGGCTATTTGTCTTTTTGTTGTTAAGTTGTAAGAGTTCTTTATATATTCTGGATACATCAGATATTTGATTTGTAATATTTTCTCCCATTATGTGGGCTGTCTTTTCACTTTCTTGATAGTATTCTCGTATACACAAAATTTTTTAATTTTGAGGTCAAATTGATCTGTTTTTTTCTTTTGCTGCTTATGGTTTTGGTGTCACATCTTAGAATTTGTTAAATTCATAGGATTTGCTAATCCTATGTCTTCTTCTAAGAGTTTTATAGTTTTAGTTTTACATTTAGGTTTGTGATCCATTTTTTTAAAAATTTTATTTTGTCGATATACAATGTGGTTGATTTTTGTGACCTATTACCGAAACCTCCCTCCCTCCTCCCTCTCCCTCCTCCCACCCAACAATGTCCTTTCTGTTTGCTTGTTGTGTCAACTTCAAGGAATTGTAATTGTTATGTCTTCTTCTCCCCCCCGTTTTTTTTTGTGTGTGTGTGATAGGTTTTCAATGCTTTTTCCTTTCTCCTCCTCTTTTGGAACACCCATGATTCAAATGTTTGTTCACTTAAGGTTGTGTGGTAACTCATTTAGATTGTCTTCATTTTTTAAAATTATTTTTTCCATTTTTTTTTTTTTTTGTGGGCCTGGTTATTTCAAAAAGAGTACATTCAAATCAGAAATTCTTTATTCTGCTTATTTTAGCCTGCTGCTTAAGTTCTCGATTGTGTTTTCTTTATTTATTTTTCATTTAGTGAATCTTTTAGTTCCATGAGTTTTGCTACATTCTTTTTTAATGTATTAATCTTTTTGTAAATTTCCTCTTTTATATTCTGAATCTTTTTCTCATTTCATTATGTTGTTTTACTGAGACTTATCATAGCTCACTTAATTCACATAAGATTGTTGCTTGGAATTCCTTTTCAGACATTTCAAAGATTTCCTGCTCTGTGGGTTCTTATAGTTGAGAATTACTGTATTCTTTTGGTGGTGTCATATTTTCTTGGATTTTCATATTTCTATTATCTCTTCATTGATGTCTGGTCATCTGGAAGAGCAGATGCTTATTCTATTTCTGTGGAACAGGTTTTGAGAGAGACTTCCTCTCTTTTTTTCCATTCTCTGCTGGTGACTCTCCTTTTGTTAATGAAGTCAAGTGTCTGGTGGATTGCCTGCATGATGGCTGTGACTATTACTGTGTTGGTGAACCACTTTTGTAGCAGCTGGAGCTGTTTCAGTGGCTGTGCTTTGCGACCCACATGGAAGTGGTGCTTTTGGTGTGATCTTGCCTCCTGCCAGGTGATAGGGGCTGCCCATGCACCTTCCTAGGATCCTGTGCATGCTCCTGCCTGCTGTCAGGTGTTGGGGGGCACTGCTCATGGCTCCTTATTATCCTAGTCCTTTCAACTGACATTTTATCTCACTCGTATAACTTCGTATAATGTATGCTATACGAAGTTATTACGCACCATTTTGCAGTCCCACCAACAGTGTATGAGAGTTCCTTTTTCTCCGCAACCTCACCAGCATTTATCGTTCAGAGTCTTTTAGATTTTAGCCATCCTCACTGGGATGAGATGGTATCTCAGTGTGGTTTTGATTTGCATTTCCTGAATGTGTAGTGTTGTTGAGCATTTTTTCATATGTCTGCTGGCCATTTGTATATCTTGCTTAGAGAAATGCCTCCTTAGCTCTTTTGCCCATTTTTTGATTGGGTTGCTTGTTTTTTTCTTGTAGAGTTGTTTGAGTTCCTTGTATATTCTGGATATTAATCCTTTGTCAGATGTATATTTTGCAAATATTTTCTCCCACTCTGTTGGTTGTCTTTTAACTCTGTTAATTGTTTCTTTTGCTGTGCAGAAGCTCTTTATTTTGATATAATCTCATTTGTTTATTTTTGCTTTAGTTGCCTGTGCTTTAGGGGTCATATTCATGAAGTCTGTGTCCAGTCCTACTTCCTGNCAAGCCTGCAGCTCCAGGCTGACTGGAAGACAACTTTACATTCATGTAAATAATGTCATCTCCCATGACCAGGGTTCAAAATATCAGATAACCATGAGATAAAAGGGAACACAGAGAAATGCATGAGAGAAAAAAAAATCATTGTGTCCTTTTAAAATCTTTTAGAGCCCATGTGGTTTTAGGTCCCAGCATGGCTCCAGTCCTGCTCACTCCAACAGTATCACAGTGTTAGTAGCTACAGGAAGCATGCCGAGGGCTGCGAGAATAAGCAAAGAGGATGAAATTGTTAAAATTTGGAAGCTTGAAGGAGGAGGCTGGTAAAACTGGAAGTCAGTCCTCTGAAGGGAGAATGTGGCTTGGCTGGTGTCTCTGACACGAGCATAATGAACCTGGTTCTGCAAATTTGGGGAAAACTGCTGCAACTGGAAGAAACTTCTGCTATCTATATCTCACTGGTCCAGGAAACAGACAGGAAGCTCACCGAATAGTGCAGTTCTCTTTCCCCTCCTCTAGCCTTCCTGTCTCCAGCTATTGTTCCCTATTTAGACAGTCTGACAGGGAGCAGCTGGCAAAGGAGAGCAGTGGCTTACAG